ACCTTTCAGGCAGACTTCTAAAAGTCCTGAATTTGTGCTCCACTGCTTGTAACACTTTCTAGTACTGATTCTGAAGGCTGAACCCCCCCCCCCCCGCAGTTTATCTTCCAACATATTGCCTCAGATTAATTTCTCTGTGCCTACCTTGCAAAAACTGGTTGCTTTTCTATTTATAGAATTACAGCAATTCTTTTCTCAGAACTGTGGTTGATTTTTCCTTTGTTCAGAATTTGATAACTATCTACCTGAATTCCAGGGACCAGACAAAATTAGGGCCCCTACTCCTCTGCCATCTTTACTCTGGGTTGGTTTTTATACATGCCCATGTTGTCCTCCAACAGAACATGGCAGGCCTGTGCAATCAGGAGCCTTTTAATAGTCAGTGTCTTTTCAAATCCCTCATTTATTCCTGCCTCACACTCAGCTTGGAGATAGTGAAGGGATGATTGATTTTTGGAGTGGTTAGTGATTTGTCCTGGGTGGCAGGTAAGTGAAAGGCACTGCCAGTCTAGAATGTCCTCTTACTTATTAGGAGAATAATCTTCTTGTTCCTAATAGAACAGCCTGGTTCCTGCCCCTCCAACCCAAGGCCAGAGAAATCAGTTTGGGAAGGCTCAGGTCTTGAAGGAAGCTGCCCTTGCTCTGGACTGAGCCTCTCATTTTCCAACCCCCTACTCTCCTACCTCCCACAGCACCCCATCTGATCCCTTCCCTACCCACCACCTGCTCCATGTCTCTACTCTTCCCATCCATTGCTGATTCTCCCTCAGCTGGCTCTGGTCCCATTTCCAAAACTATATCCCCCACCTCAACTGCACTACTCTGTCCCCCCACTGATCTCAGGTTGCAGCCCCCACCTCCCCTCCTCTTCCAACATGCCCCTCCTTGCACTGTACTGATGGGTCCTCCCTCTCCCTTGCCCATGAATGTGCTTTCCCCATTCCAGCACTTCTTCTCCTTGTCGCCCTCTCCCCTGTGATCCTTTCCCTCCATTAACCAGAGCACAAGGAGGTGGCACCAATGAGCTCAGTGCAGACCTTGGCTGATCTTAGGCCGAGTTGTTGGGGGTGTACCCCACTCCCCCAAACAGGGAGGAAGTATCTGGCTGCAGGCTTTCACCCAGCAGCTCAAGGAATCAGGGAGGTGTCTTCATCTTTGAGGTTCCTCCTGCTGGGAGAGGAAAAGGGGCAGGAAGCAGGACAAGGACCCAATTCAATCGTTACTCCAAAATGAATTTCAAATGGACCTAACTCAAATGATTAGGCAAAATCATGAGAGAATATATCATTTGAAGAGGGAAAGTCTGGGATTTGACTTTAAAATGAAAATATCCAAACATTAAAAATTAAAGGAGTAACTGTAAACTGGGGAATATTTGCAACACATATGGCAGATAATTCCTTTACTATGGTCTGTACAAACCAATTCTTTTTTTTAAAGATTTATTTATTCATGAGACACACAGAAAGTGGCAGAGACACAGGCAGACAGAGAAGCAGTCTCTCTGTGGGAGCCCAATGTGGAACTTGATCCCAGGACCCTGGAATCATGACCTGAGCCAAAGGGAGACGCTCGGCCACTGAGCCACCCAGGTGTCCCTAAACCAATTCTTAAAAGGATCAACCCAACAAAAAACTGCTAAAGGACATGAACAAACAAATCACAGGAAAAAGAAATATGACTTTGTAAACACCCAACATGATACCCAGTTTCACTCAGAATTGAACACAAAATAAAACATGAGAGCATTTTCCATTTATCAGACCAGAAAATAATAGTTTTATAGAAGACTCATGGAAATGGGCATTTTCATACAAATACTGTGAACTGCATTTGCAATTTCTATCAAAAATCAAATGTACCTACCCCTTTATCAATTTATACTGCAAAGTTGCACACATGATGGTATACCAGGTGATTTAGCATGGCATTGTTTGTAAAACAAAAGACAGAAAAAAAACTACATGCCCACCAACAGGATACTGCTACATGAATAATGGTACATCCATAGAATTCAATATCACATGGCAAAGAAAAAAAAATGAGGTAGATCTTATAGGCTAATATACAACCATCTCCAAGACACACTAAATGGAAAAAAAAAGTGTAGACATTGCATATCCTAAGGTCCTGTTTCTGAGTGTGTGTTTTAAAGGGGGATACAGAAGACTGTAAATACATACACTCTCCTTGGAAGGATCAAGAAATTTGCAACACTTATTTCCAGGGTACTCCCAACCAGGGTACTCTGAGCTAGGAGGAAGACTTATTCTTCATTGTTTGCTTCTGTAACTTTTGAGGAGAAAGGTCTCTGGAGGGACATGGAGAAAGTAGCTTGGGAGGAAGGGGCACAAACTTTGGCCTGAGTCATTCTGATCCTGTGAAGATATTCCTTGAAAATGGGGATTATAAAGGAACTTCCTCAGATGAGGACTAAATGAAATAAAGAACATTTGGCATTAAGTCTCCCACACAGGAACCCCTTAACAAATGGGGTTGTTACAACCTTGCTACTAGTGTGCTAGGACTTGAGTTGCATCTCCCAAATCCCCACCCAACACCTCAGAAGTACTGACTACTGTGAACACAGGTCAGACCCAGAGCAGTACAAGGAAACCAGGGCTTCTTAGGCCTGGGCAGGACCCATTTGTCACAAGTCATGTTTCACCAGGCTGTGGATCTGATTTCTGGCTTGGGGATTTGAGGCTTAATCTTTCATGCCCCTAAGGCCTCCTCACTCCATCTGTCCATTCTCTTCTTGCCCCGGCCACTGTCTGAGTCAGAATCTCCCTTGTAGTCTGACAAAAGCTATCTGTATGGTCTCCAGGATTTCTTTCTCCCCTCACCAGCCGAGCCCCAGGTATACGTCACAATCACTAAGGTTACATATATTCCCCGAATGAACTCCATCCACCATTAGGTCCTTGGTAACTGGTTTATTCCCCAGTCCCTTACTCTGCTGCTCCCTACTACCACACCCCCCAAAATTGTCTCATCACTCCATATGAGCCATCATCTTGTGTTTTTATTAGCTTTTCCCTTCTTGGTCATAAAGGTAACTGAGGTGTATTGTAGAAAATATAGACAAAGCAGTGATATTTAACCATTAACCACCCTATGTACTTATTTTTTTCATCTTTTCTATGCACGTATATTTAAGAAAATTGAGCTATCTGTACCTAACCATTTAATTTTGTACTTAACATTTTCCATTTAATACCGGGAACATTTTATATCACCAAATATCCTTTAAATTATGCTCTTTAAAGATGTGGTTTATGTATACAATGGAATATTACTCAGCCATTACAAACGACAAATACCCACCATTTGCTTCAATGTGGATGGAACTGGAGGGTATTATGCTGAGTGAAGTAAGTCAATCGGAGAAGGACAAACAGTGTATGTTCTCATTCATTTGGGGAATATGAATATTAGTGAAAGGGAATATAAGGGAAGGGAGAAGAAATGTGTGGGAAATATCAGAAAGGGAGACTGATATTAGACTCCTAACTCTGGGAAACGAACTAGGGGTGGTGGAAGGGGAGGAGGGCGGGGGGTGGGGGTGAATAGGTGATGGGCACTGAGGGGACACTTGACGGGATGAGCACTGGGTGTTATTCTGTATGTTGGTAAATTGAACACCAATAACAATTAATTTATTAAAAAAATAAAATAAATTATGCTCTCTAGTGGTTGCATAATATTCCATCATATTATAATTTAATTATTCCCTTGGATTTTTTTTTTTTGGTAAAACTGTAACACTGACAAGTATATAAATCACTGCCAAAGTACTAATTTTTAGGATAGTTAAGTGGTAGTGCAATATAAAAGCATATCAACAGTCTTTTTAAAAATGTTTTATCTTCCCGTAAGATGATAATGAATTATAATGGCTTAAAATGTATAAATAATGATGTGATAAGGGGAACAAATCTCTGTAAGATGGAAAATGGAGAAGGCTGCATGAAGGGAGTGAGAACTTGGAACACTTGCTGAGGGCAATACAATGGAAGGAGGTAGCTGACATACCCTACCAAATCCCAAAGCAACTTGGGACTTGGACTTGGTAGAAGGGAGAAGTGAGGATAAAAATAAGGGCATTAACCAAAGCCTTTAATAACACTTGACTTTCCTCTCTCCCACTCCTACAGAAGCACTTATGGTATCTAAACCCCAGACAAAAATATCAGAGGTGTTCCTGCTAACGAAGCATATAAGCCCCAGACAAAAGATAGCATTCTAGAGCTGAAAGATTTCCAGGGAAGAGTTCGTTTCCTTCCGAGTATTCTAGAAGAAAGCCTCTTAACTGAGCAAACCCCACTCCCACACACAGAGGTCTCAAATCGACTTTTGATACACACATACAGATTTATATCAGTAAGAATCACAACATATTTGAGGAAAGTCTCTAATGAGAGTAAACAAAGAGAAAAAAGGACCCAGGGGAAGGACATGAAGGGGTGAGATATCTGCTGACAGAGAAACCTTTAAGAAAACTCTTCTAATTACGACACTCAGAATTGAGAGGTGTCTCTAAAATGAGAATAGTATGCTACAAAAAGGGAACAAACAGAAAAGGAAAAGCTTTTTAGAAATTAATATTGGCAAAATAAGAAATTTGCTAAGCAGGTTGAAAAATAACAAAAGTCTCTCAGAAAATAGCACAAAACAAGGACATGGTAATAACACAGAAAGTAGCTGAGGATCAATCCACAGGTCCGACATATGACAGATAAAGATTCTAGAAAGACTAAAAAAGAGAAAAAGGGGTGGGGAGATTATCACATAACACAAGAACATTTCCAAGAATAGAAGTAACCTGAGTCACTAGATTGAATAATTCCACTGAGTACACTGGAGAATTAAGTGCACAAGAATAAAGAGGAGACTTTATAAAAGCTTTCAGGGATGGGGGCTGGGTGGGGGAAAAGATCTCAGTAATGCAAACAGTATTTATTGATTGTCAAATAAGAATCAGACTGGAACTAGGCATCTACAAATTCTGGATTAATTTTTCAATGTAGAATTTCAGAGCCAGAGTAACAATCAAGCTGGAGGACAGAGAAAGATGTTTTTTTTGATATATAAGCACTCAATATTTTTGTCTTCCATATACTCTTTCTTGGCAAGGGACTTGGAAGTTGTGCTGCAGTGAAATGAGGGAGTTAATAAATAAGAGCAACATGTACAATTCAGTACACACCAAAGCCCCATGTAACAACAAAACAAGGGGCAGGAAAACATCAAGGGCAGACTAGCATGGGAAGCTGGAAACTAGAGGTCTCTTAAAGAGAAAAAAGGGGACTCAATAGAGTATCTAATTAGATGAAGAATCTGAAAATCACTCAGAGTGTGCTAAAAGCAACCAGTATAAGGAGAAAAGAAAGGTAACTAAAAACTCCAGTAAAATAATATATTATAAATCATAGTAAGCTACTTAATCTGCAGTAAACATTTATATTACATTCATGCTGTTTATTTTCAACATTTAGAGCAAATCAATAAACAAAGCATAAAAGACTATCTATGGTTACAGAATAGAGTTCAAGAATCAGACTTGACATGGTCAGAGTCAGAGAGGTGGAAGGGGAAGGAGAAAGAAATAGCAGGGTATATTCCACATCTTAAAACACAGAATTAAAATACTGTTTAGAGTTAATACAATAGAACTAAATATGTAAATATAATAATTTTTTCTTGATTATAAAGTTCTTGTTCCTTATATAAAATATTACTTAAAAAGAAAAAAATGACTTTTAATCTCCCATAATTCTATAATCTACAGGACCAAGTTGGAGTCTAAGCTCTGCAATTCTGTATGGCTGTGAACATGTCACTTAACCACTTATAACATTTTTTTTATTTCCTTCAGGTAATTTATCTATTACTTTTTAACAGTACATAGTATATGAAACATTATATGAGAACTGTACTATATACACAATTATGAATCCAAGTTTTTTTTTCACTTTAAAGCATAAAGTGGATACATACCATATGCTCTTCCATACTTCTAAGTATCTCTCTGTGTGTGTGTGTGTGTGTGTGTGTATGTGTGTGTGTATACACATACTTGCTAAGGATTAGTCAGAGGGTTCCCAAAGATGAGACTGGAATCAAATCTTAAAAGAAATCTAAAGTTCAGCAAAGTAGACAGAGGTCAAGTAGGAAGTGGTGGTAATAAGCATCAGGGACAGTGTGAGCAAAGGCACAGAGAAAAGCCAGCACATGCCTCCAGGCTGCAGTAAAAATACATGCAAAGTGAAGAGATTAGGTTGGAAAGAGACTATGAAGAGCTTAGTAAATCATGTTAAGGGGTTCAAACAGTTTTCCTGAGACACCAGGATTTGGTAGGTCTTGTTTGCCTTTGTACTCCAGGAACTAGCACCATGTTTGCCACAAAGAGTGAAAAGAACTGTTGAAAGAATGACACAGAGAAAGCCAGAAATAACCTCTTGGATTTCCAGTTTGGCTGCTGAATAATGCTATTTGCTTAAGGAGGGAATCCAGGAAAAGCAAGATTGAGATTGTATTTGGGCAACATCTAGAGATTCTGACCTCATTTCTTAATGTCACTAGACATTTATGCCCTAGAGGATTCAAGAACTGGCCTTAGGGAGACTATAAGCCACCACAAATGAGCGAAAAACTGAATGTGCTATCTGCAGGTCTCAGGAAGAGGATCTACAACCTCCATTAGATCCTCAAAGGGACTGTGACCCCAGAAAGATTGAGCACACTGGATGGAAGAGCAAGCAAAGTGACAGATATGAAAGGATAACTATCTAGGCGAGGGAGGGACCCAGAACATAAAGATTAGCTTTGTCCAAACACCTCTTCCTGAGCTTGGAGATTCATGGGTCTGAGGCATGTAAGTGTAGGGGTGTGTGTGTGTGTGTGTGTGTGTGTGTGTGTGTGTGTGTCTCAATGAGTCTCTCCTCCCCTGTGCCCCTCCAAGTACAAGACTTTATCATCACTTCCATATCACTATGTTCTCCTTAATACACAACTGTTGCCATGACTTCTTGGCTGTCTTCTTAGTACTCATCAATTGGCCTGGATTTTTGATAGCTAGAACTCTGATAGCTCTTGGCAACTTAAGAATCAGGGCTTCAGAGTTCTGATCCGCTTCTAGAAATAAAAGCCAAGAGAGAAAAGGGTTGACTTTTGGGAAAATGAAAACTTAAGCCAACTGTGCCAAGTAGTAGTCACTTCTCATCTATCAGAAACCATACAGAAAAAGGAGAGCAGTAACTTATTTTAAAGTCTGGAAATTAACTGGAAATAAGAGTTGTTAGTTAAGGATCTGGTCTGTTTGGTAATCCACTAGGCTCACATAATTTATGCAGGATTGGAGAAGTCTTGAACCTGGGTGCAGATTTGTGGAAACCAAGACCTGGAGATGAAATACAGTAGAAGTGTAAAAAGCCATTTTGTTGAATGAGGAATATAAAAGTATACTGTGTAAAACTTGGTCTGCTCATATATATATAGTGTTTGGTATATTCACTTAAAATACAAATAAATTAGGGCACAGAATCCTTACAACCAAGGTATAGGACATCCAGTGCAGCCAATGTTGTTAGTATCCTGTTTTGCCGAAACCACACAGAGTACTCTGCACATCCAGATTTTACTAGGGCTTTCCTACTCCACCTTTGATCACATGCATTCATAGCCTGCAGACTTTACTTGACTGCAGTGGCCATTACCTTGGTCACACAATGTGTCCCCAAAAGGGTTTCCCTCCAGAATTGGGAAAAAAAAAAAAAAAAAACACAAAAAAGTTGGCCCTGGGAATGGAAAAAAAAATTTAAGTACACTAGGTTATTCTAACATGCAGCCAAGTGAAAATCACTGTTTCACTGCAAGGTTGGGTGATTTTCAAATCTAGCTTTACATCACAATCACCTGCACAGCCTTTTCTGAGTTGCCTATGACCAGCAATCTTTAGCCAGGAAATCTCAATCATCCATGAAAAGCATTAAATTAGGATGAACATAGTGTGAAACCAGAAGAATTTAACTGTCCTAAGGATCCTAAGTCCTGGCTTGTATCTTTCAAGGAAAGTACACTTTTGGTCTCTTGATAGGTCCAGGTCAGATTTACTCCAAATCTTCAAACCTGCTCTTCTACTGGGCTTCCTGATCCTGCAGGGGTAAAAACCCAAGCTTGTTCCCAATCTCAGCAAACACTTGGTGTTATCTTTGGGTCTCTCCATTCTCATCTGGGGGACAGGAACAGTCACAGAGGACATGGGCATTTCTGATTCTGACTTTTGAATCCTATTAATTTCTTATAGTTATGTATGATTCAGAGTGCAAACTGGGAAAAGAAGGTGCACATGCTTGGATGAAAGATCATAGTTGAAGGGGAAGAGAAAGAGGAAATAAACAAGCATTGTTTATGCCTTCTATACATGAGAAAGTGCTCTGTTAAATACAAAACAAATGAGCCAGTTAAGTCCCAATGATGGGACTTCTACATGAGTTGTACCAGATTGCTTGTCAGCAGGCAGGGCCTTTACAATATGTTCTTGCTTGCTGAGTGGGATGAAGAGACAGACCCACAACCAGGAGACTCCAATCCTAGTCTGATTTGATGCTTACTGTGGGTCACACTACCTAAGGCACGTCCTAAAATCTCAGCTTCCTCGCCCCTTTCTCAGGCTCTGTGGAAGACCTGGATTGCAGATGGTTAGACACAGCATTGCAGAACAGAGAACCTGGTTTAAGTCCTGGATTTGAATGTAGGCTGCTCTTTGTTTGACCACTCTCAGCTAGATGGGGAAAACACCTCTTTCAGTGTTCTATGGATTAAGGTAAGGATCTGTGTGAAAGTTTAAGGGAAGTGCTGAGGATTGATTCTATACTTGAAGGTGTATAAACAAGGAATTAAGTTCTATATAAATACAAGGCCAATATTACATAACTCTACCTATTGCATAGTTTTAGAAATTGTTTTTCCAGGAATAAAGGCTCAATAGTAACAAAGGTTATCTTACCTTAGCCAGTTTCTTCATCCTTCTAAGTTTTCACATTCCAATACTGTTGAACTTCTCAAAAAAAAAAAAAAAAAAAGACCTTAGGAGTCCCACTCTACCTCCTCGCCTCCCTTTACTTCCTTCTTTGGTCCTCTCAAAATTAGGACTCCATTATTTCTTCTAAAGGCCAGCCAAAAAGTGAGAATGACACCCAAAGTGAACCCCCCCCTGGCTGGGCCTGAGCAGAATAAGCATAGATAATGTGAACAGGCCTTTCAGCAAGCTTTATTCTTTGACCCCTCTGTGAAGGGACTGTTAGAAGCATCTCACTCTGATGGAATGCAATGAAGTTAGGGTCACATGAAGAGTTGTCGTTAGCAAATGAATACACCCTGGCCCCAGTGTTTTGTCTCCATCAATCCTCAAGTGCTTGGCCATTCAGACTGCAGAATAGAAGAGGTTTGTCAGACCCTCCCAGAGCTTTACCATACCAAGGTTCATGAGGTATAGATAACAGGGGAAACAGCTGTTTCCTACTTCTATCCATTTTAGGAGAAGATTGCCTAAGGAATGGAAAGCTTATAAAAAAGTTCAAAGGTGAGTGTTGATTTGCTACCCCAAGTGGTTTCCTTAACTAGTCATCATTTCTTAACCCAAAATACTAGAATACAAGGATCAAAGCTCCAGAATTCCAAGCAGACCTATACCAAAAACCTGCCTGTTGCTCAAGAAATTGGGTTTAAAAAAACAAAAACACCTTTCCTCAAATAGGATCTTTATCACTTAGCTTTATATAACCAATTTCTAAAAAAGCCACATTCCATTTCAAACAGGAGGACCACTGAGGGCACAGCTCAAAAAAACACAGTCCCTGCCTTTAAGTGCTTAGCTTTCACTTTAAGTCAGTCTCCAAAATGCTTATGTTCTGTGATGCACTCCTGAAAACTGTTACTTTTAAAACATGGCAGCCTCATTTTTACAGAGGAACAAAACAGCAAAGATATATCCAGTTAGGGGTTAGTGGATTACGATCAATGCCTGGAGTAACCAGTACCTGTTACTCAACAAGATGGGTTCTGTGGTGTCGCATGAGGTGCGAGTTAGAAATGAAAGCCGCGCCACACTTGGCACACTCATAGGGCTTCTCCCCAGTGTGGGTTCTCTGGTGCACAGTGAGGCTCGACCTTTGCCGGAAGGCCTTGCCACACTCATTGCATGTGTAAGGTTTTTCCCCATTATGAATTCTCTGATGAATAAGCAGGTACGAGCTACATGTGAAGGCCTTCCCACACTCATTACACACATAAGGAAGATCTCCACTGTGAATCCTCTGATGCACAATAAGGCAAGATAGCTGACTGAAGGCTTTTCCACACTCACTGCAATCATAAGGTTTCTCTGCAGTGTGAATTCTCTGGTGCACAATAAGATGTGAAAAACAACTAAAGGCTTTTCCACACTCTTTACACTCATATGGCTTCTCACCAGTATGGCTTCGTTGATGTACAATAAGATTTGCACTCTGGGTAAAGGCTTTGCCACAATCATTACAGGCAAAGGGCTTCTCCCCAGTGTGGATCCTCTGGTGGACAATGAGGTTTGAGCTCCGAGTAAATGTTTTCCCACACTCATTACATTCATAGCATTTTTCTGTAATGTGGACTTTCTGGTGCCGAGCAAGTTGTGAGCTATAACTGAAGGCTTTCTCACATTCACTGCACTTAAAGGTTTTTTCTAAGGAGTGGATTTTTTGATGTACAGTCAGATTTGAACTCTGAGTAAAGGCTTTCCCACATTTTGAACATACATATGGTTTCTGTCCAGTGTGGATTCGCTGATGTACGACAAGGTTTGCACTCTGAATGAAAGCCTTTCCACACTCATGACATTCGAAGGGTTTCTCCCCAGTGTGGATTCGCTGATGCACTACGAGGTTTGCACTTTGACTAAAGCCTTTTCCACACACACTACATGTGAAAGGTTTCTGTCCAGGCTGGCTTTTCTGATTTTTAACAGAGCTAGAACTAAGGCTATATCTTTCCCCAGACTGCTGACATTTCTGATCTTCCTCTACTTTGAAGCTTTCAGGTACATGACAGTTCTTCACTGCCATATGTCTGAAACCTTTCTTTTCCCTCTTCATTCTTTGCCTCTTTATAATGTTCCCTTTTTCACAGGCTTCTCCTAACTCAGGTCCTTGAGGATTAACTTTCTGGATTCTTCCTGATATTATGAAGGGTTTTTCTGCTTCATCACATGTCTCAGTTTTTGGAACCAGTAACTGTGGGTTCTTGGTTTCAGCACCTGAAACAACAAACAAAAGTATAAATGTCAGCTTATTCTGGCCTAGAAAAAGAACAGGATCATCAAGTGATAAATGTCAGGATGTATGTGACTTCGGTGTATGTGTAAAATGGCTTCATCAAAGAAAAGAATTCCCCCATGTGTCACCTCTCCTCTGTAGGTTCTTCTGCCACACCCAGAGCAGACTCCACTGATTCGTGGTCTTTCCAGCACTTCCACTTACCTCCATTGGACATCCAACACTGCCTCATGCAGGAAAGCCATCTTCAGATGGCTCTGGTTGCGTAATGACTGATCTTACAATTAAGACCAGTTGAAGGGCACTACTCTCCCAGGCTTGCCTCCTTACGTTAGCTACTTAGTGTAGATCTGCTTACAACCCACCACTTAATTAAGGACATTCTGACCCTAGAAATGAAAATCTATGCAACTTAGACTTTTGTGTATGAGGAAGCTGGATATTCAAGTAAAGATAAGCATGGACAGAAAGGGTCCACTGGATGCCAGAAGGACCAGAGCAGCTAAGAGCACCTGAAACACTGAGAGGCTATTTAGCACATAGCTTAACAACATGGACTGTGGAGCCAGACGGCTTAGTTTCAAACGCCTGCTCTGCCACATAGCTGTAGGAATTTGGGCTACTAACTTAACTTCTTTGCCTCAGTTTCCTTATCTCCAAAATAAGGACAATAACAGTATGTATCTCATAAAACCAGGAAAAGTTTAATCAAGTTATTCTACAGTAATGTCTGAGCACAGGAAGTGGCTCTGGAGAGTCTGCAGTGACTTTGAGCCTCACATCTAGTGCTGTGGGTCCACGTGTTGGGGCCCAGGAGCAAAGATGGAGATCCTTAGAGGACAGGAGTTGTTATGGTGATAGATGGTAACCCCAGAAGGGACTAAGGAAGAATGTGAACAGAGTAAACAGCTCAACACTTGTGTTGAGCAAACAGCTCTGCTTTGTGTCAAGGAAAGCTGACCCTTCTAAGTTTGAGACACTGTATAGCCTGTTCCCTTATGCCAGTATCATGAAAACAGCAAAACATCCTGAAGTTTTAAAACTGCCTTGGAACCGTTGTGTCAGAAAAGGGGTCCTAGAGTCAGTAACATAGTAACTCTTTATGTGTCTCCTCTCCACTCCTATCACCCCTGACCCAATGATGTGCACCTATGCAGCCTAGCATTCATAAAATCTTCATCAGCATTTGAATTATACCAAGTTCGGGAACACTACCCAGATAAGGCACATGAAACAAGGGCAAGCAGTGGAGGCAAGCCTCCAAAGGGGAGCCATTCCTCCTGGTGGTGAACTTAGAAGTGAGCAGGAAAGCTGTGAGCTGCAGGTCATACAGCAACTGCAAGGGGGAGAATCCAGCATCTTTAAGACATCCCACCAGCATAGATCAGGGCAACTCTCCAACCTAGGAGATGAGTGAGAGACAGGGATGTCAGGATACAAAACATGATGGGGGGGGGCAGGGAAACAGCCTAGTATGGTTACCTGGTTAAAACAACAGTTACACGACACTCCCAAAATAATCATTCAGATAAGATAGGGAGTGCTGGAAAAAGGCAATGCAAGGCCTGCATATGGCAGAGAACTGAATGTGACAACAAATTCTGAAATGCTAGTCTTTTTCCAGTTCTTTCTATTCCTACTCTTTTGAGGTCATCTGATGTCTTTCTTGTATCTATTCTATTTTTCTTCCTGTAGCTTAACTGCCCTAACATTTTTGTCTTTTCAAAAATTTTTTTTATTTTCTTTTATTTTTTTTAATAAATTAATTTTTATTGGTGTTCAATTTACCAACATACAGAATAACACCCAGTGCTCATCCCGTCAAGTGTACCCCTCAGTGCCCGTCACACATTCACCCTCACCCCCCGCCCTCCTCCCCTTCCACCACCCCTAGTTCATTTCCCAGAGTTAGGAGTCTTTATGTTCTGTCTCCCTTTCTGATATTTCCCACACATTTATTCTCCCTTCCCTTATATTCCCTTTCACTATTATTCATATTCCCAAATGAATGAGAACATACACTGTTTGTCCTTCTCCGATTGACTTACTTCACTCAGCAAAATACCCTCCAGTTCCATCCACGTTGAAGCAAATGGTGGGTATTTGTCGTTTCTAATGGCTGAGTAATATTCCATTGTATACATACACCACATCTTCTTTATCCATTCATCTTTTGATGGACACCGAGGCTCCTTCCACAGTTCGGCTATTGTGGACATTGCTGCTATAAACATCGGGGTGCAGGTGTCCCGGCGTTTCATTGCATCTGAATCTTTGGGGTAAATCCCTAACAGTGCAATTGCTGGGTCGTAGGGCAGGTCTAGTTTTAACTCTTTGAGGAACCTCCACACAGTTTTCCAGAGTGGCTGCACCAGTTCACATTCCCACCAACAGTGTAAGAGTGTTCCCTTTTTCTCCGCATCCTCTCCAACATTTGTTGTTTCCTGCCTTGTTAATTTTCCCCATTCTCACTGGTGTGAGGTGGGATCTCATTGTGGTTTTGATTTGTATTTCCCTGATGGCAAGTGATGCAGAGCATTTTCCCATGTGCATGTTGGCCATGTCTATGTCTTCCTCGGTGAGATTTCTCTTCATGTCTTTTGCCCATTTCATGATTGGATGTTTGTTTCTTTGGTGTTGAGTTTAATAAGTTCTTTTTTTTTAATTTTTATTTATTTATGATAGGCACACAGTGAGAGACAGAGAGGCAGAGACACAGGCAGAGGGAGAAGCAGGCTCCATGCACCGGGAGCCCGACGTGGGATTCGATCCCGGGTCTCCAGGATCGCGCCCTGGGCCAAAGGCAGGCGCCAAACCGCTGTGCCACCCAGGGATCCCCTAATAAGTTCTTTATAGATTTTGGAAACTAGCCCTTTATCTGATATGTTATTTGCAAATATCTTCTCCCATTCTGTAGGTTGTCTTTTAGTTTTGTTGACTGTATCCTTTGCTGTGCAAAAGCTTCTTATCTTGATGAAGTCCCAATAGTTCATTTTTGCTTTTGTTTCTTTTGCCTTCGTGGATGTATCTTGCAAGAAGTTACTGTGGCCACGTTCAAAAAGGGTGTTGCCTGTGTTCTCCTCTAGGATTTTGATGGAATCTTGTCTCACATTTAGATCTTTCATCCATTTTGAGTTTATCTTTGTGTATGGTGCAAGAGAGTGGTCTAGTTTCATTCTTCTGCATGTGGATGTCCAATTTTCCCAGCACCATTTATTGAAGAGACTGTCTTTCTTCCAGTGGATAGTCTTTCCTCCTTTATCGAATATTAGTTGACCATAAAGTTCAGGGTCCACCTCTGGGTTCTCTATTCTGTTCCACTGATCTATGTGTCTGTTTTTGTGCCAGTACCACACTGTCTTGATGACCACAGCTTTGTAGTACAACCTGAAATCTGGCATTGTGATGCCCCAAGCTATGGTTTTCTTTTTTAAAATTCCCCTGGCTATTCGGGGTCTTTTCTGATTCCACACAAATCTTAAAATAATTTGTTCTAACTCTCTGAAGAAAGTCCATGGTATTTTGATAGGGATTGCATTAAACGTGTACATTGCCCTGGGTCACATTGACATTTTCACAATATTAATTCTGCCAATCCATGAGCATGGAATATTTTTCCATCTCTTTGTGTCTTCCTCAATTTCTTTCAGAAGTGTTCTATAGTTTTTAGGGTATAGATCCTTTACCTCTTTGGTTAGGTTTATTCCTAGGTATCTTATGCTTTTGGGTGCAATTGTAAATGGGACTGACTCCTTAATTTCTCTTTCTTCAGTCTCATTGTTAGTGTATAGAAATGCCATTGATTTCTGGGCATTGATTTTGTATCCTGCCACGCTACCAAATTGCTGTATGAGTTCTAGCAATCTTGGGGTGGAGGCTTTTGGGTTTTTTTGTAGAGTATCATGTCATCGGTGAAGAGGGAGAGTTTGACTTTCTTTGCCAATTCGAATGCCTTTAATGTCTTTTTGTCTGATTGCTGAGGCTAGGACTTCCAATACTATGTTGAATAGCAGTGGTGAGAGTGGACATCCCTGTCTTGTTCCTGATCTTAGGGGAAAGGCTCCCAGTGCTTCCCCATTGAGAATGATATTTGCTGTGGGCTTTTCGTAGATGGCTTTTAAGATGTCGAGGAATGTTCCCTCTATCCCTACACTCTGAAGAGTTTTGATCAGGAATGGATGCTGTATTTTGTCAAATGCTTTCTCTGCATCTAATGAGAGGATCATATGGTTCTTATTTTTTCTCTTGCTGATATGATGAATCACACTGAGTGTTTTACGAGTGTTGAACCAGCCTTGTGTCCCGGGGATAAATCCTACTTGGTCATGGTGAATAATTTTCTTAATGTGTTGTTGGATCCTATTGGCTAGTATCTTGTTGAGAATTTTTGCATCCATGTTCATCAGGGATATTGGTCTGTAATTCTCCTTTGTGGTGGGGTCTTTGGTTTTGGAATTAAGGTGATGCTGGCCTCTTAGAACGAATTTGGAAGTACTCCATCTCTATCTTTCCAAACAGCTTTAGTAGAATAGGTAAGATTTCTTCTTTAAACGTTTGATAGAATTCCCCTGGGAAGCCATCTGGCCCTGGACTCTTGTGTCTTGGGAGGTTTTTGATGACTGCTTCAATTTCCTCCCTGGTTATTGGCCTGTTCAGGTTTTCTATTTCTTCCTGTTCCAGTTTTGGTAGTTTGTGGCTTTCCAGGAATGCGTCCATTTCTTCTAGATTGCCTAATTTATTGGCGTAGAGCTGTTCATAATATGTTTTTAAAATCGTTTGTATTTCCTTGGTGTTGGTAGTGATCTCTCCTTTCTCATTCATGATTTTATTGAGTCTTCTCTCTCTTTTTAATAAGGCGGGCTAATGGTTTATCTATCTTATTGATTCTTTCAAAGAACCAACTCCTGGTTTTGTTGATCTGTTCCACAGTTCTTCTGGTCTCGATTTCGTTGAGTTCTGCTTGAATCTTTATTAACTCTCTTCTTCTGCTGGGTGTAGGACCTATTTGCTGTTTTTTCTCTAGCTCCTTTATGTGTAAGGTTAGCTTTTGTATTTGAGTTCTTTCCAGTTTTTGAATGGATGCTTGTATTGAGATGTATTTCCCCCTCAGGACTGCTTTTGCTGCATCCCAAAGATTTTGAACGGTTGTATCTTCATTCTCATTAGTTTCCATGAATCTTTTAATTCTTCCTTAATTTCCCGGTTGACCCTTTTATCTTTTAGCATCAAAAATTTTTTAACTGAAGTATGATTAACAGTCTTATATTAATTTCAAGTGTATGATATATTAATTCAACAATTCCATACATTACTCAATGCTCACCACCCTAAGTGCAGTCACCATCTGTCTTCATATCTTCTTTCTTATTTTACTTTTTCCCCTCTATCTCTTTTCCCTACTGCCTCTTCATCTCTCCTCTCTTGGTTTTTATATTACAACTCAGTGTGGGTGGAATATTCTGATTTTTTCCTTGTATTATTTTATATCTCTTCTGCTTTTCTTTTGTGCACTACTTTCTTCTATGTCCTCTACTTTTCTTTATCCCATACATCTCACCTAATTTCTTTCCCTTCTAGTGTCTCCCTCCTTGCTTTTTTCCATCTACTACTTCTTTCCTTTAGCTCTGTATCACTGACACTGGGGGCCTCCTATCCCCACCAAGCATCTTTCCAACAAGAACAAATTCCAAGAAAACGTCAATCTATGACCTCACTTTCATCCCGTGACCTCACTCCTACCCTTTTTACCATAAGATTTAGAATACTAGAAAGCCATGAAAGATGAAGACCAGTGGGAACTAGTGAACCAATTAGAACCAATAACAGAAACAATTACTTATATTTGCATCATCTTTTCTGTCAAGATTATTACAGAAGCAGGTACAACTGTGGCCTACAAGGTCTCCACATATTGGTCATTTAACATTTCCATTACAGGGATGAAGAGCTAGCATCTTGGCCAATGCCCAGGATCTAAGAAAAGGAAAGGTCTGTTCTGAGTACTCAAGCTCAAATCCCTCTGCATTATTAATTAACCAATAATGTAGAACCTGTACCTTTGGCTTGAGATAGTTATTTTTCCTTTTTTAGACCTTGAAGCATTATGGTAACCCTACTAAAGAAATTAACTAAAAATGTACTTGTGATGAACTAGAGGACAGGCAAAGTACAACTTTTGAAATCAATACTTTTTTTTTTCATTTTTTAAAAAAGAGATCTAAAATGCTATCTAGGTCTACCATTTTAGCTGGAGACTCTATTATAAGATATGAATGGTAATTTGATTTACTAAATTTGTAAGTCACTACAAATTCATTAGGTTTACAAAAGTGTGATTAGTAAGATTTTTTTAAAAATTTATTTATTTATGATAGTCACAGAGAGAGAGAGAGAGAGAGAGAGAGAGAGAGAGAGAGGCAGAGACACAGGCAGAGGGAGAAGCAGGCTCCATGCACCCGGAGCCGATATGGGATTCGATCCCAGGTCTCCAGGATCGCGCCCTGAGCCAGAGGCAGGCGCCAAACCGCTGCGCCACCCAGGGATCCCGATTAGTAAGATTTTATACATAAGATTAGTTAAGTCTGCCTACTTAGGTATTTGAAATATTTTTTAAAATTATATATACTGAATTTGAAATATAATACATTTTATATATTTGAGAATAAAAATAAGGAAATTTTTATATAAATTGATATGTAGATAGAGCAAAACATTTTAAAAAGTTTAAAATATTAATCTGTAAAACTTGAGGCTTCACTAAACATGAATTAAAGGACAAATATTCTCATTTTTATAAAAATCTCCTAGATGTATAAGTAAAATAAAAATAAGTTATGTTGAAATGCTTAAAAACTTGAGTTTTAAATGTTTTAAACTTTAATAAATTCAACAGTAATTAATACATAGGAAGCTGTAGATAAAACTCTCTCAGATGTTAACCACCAGGAAATTTTCAAAGCATGTTCATGCATATTTAAATTTTATCATCAAGATGAAACTATTCTCCTTCATTTGTGTGAGAGCTAAAAAGAAGGGCAAGACTGTATCTTCTTCAGTATCCCCAACACCTATCACATTACCTAGCACACAGAAAGCAGGGCCCCCACAAGATCCTGTATGCACTGAATGAATACAGTCTTGCTGAAAGAACAGGAAATGGAGGTTGAGAGAGAAAGGACTTGTTCAAGGTCAAAGAGTTATCAAAGGCAGGGCAGCAACTACACTCAGGTATTTCTCTTAATTTGTAGAACTTATAACCCTGCTGTTACCTGCTGCTATGCAAACAGCTGACAATACACAGAAAGGTCAATATTGGCTGGGAAAAGGGTCTGGAGGTAAGAAGCAAAGAAGGGAAACAGTGATCATGCCTGGTGGACGGGTGTTACTGCTGGAGTTAAGATGTGAATGAAAGATAAAGCAAGGAAAGAAAAAAAGAAGTCATAATACACAGAATGCACCAGAGAGAATGGAACAGAGAGCAGGAAATAGGCAACAGAAGCTGCTGATGAGGAATAATTAAAGAAGAGACAAGAAGATGAAAGGTGATAATCCTATACTGGTTTAAGAAAGTGACCTGGTCAGTCTGAGGAATGGGATAGAGAGCAGAGTGAGTTCAAAATACTCAGGTGTAGCTCTGTACCAGCCAGATTTCTAGAATTCGAGTGCCATAAGGGCCTTGGCAGTCACCCAGGGATTACTTCTACAACACAGGACCCATGGCTACCACATCCTTGACCCACAGTGACACATCACTCCTCTATAGGTAAGTTTCTGCCATTGCTAGTCAGACATATCCTGAGTCCCAGCCTAGAGAAAGAACCAGGTGATAAGTCAGCCATTAGTACCCTCTATTAAGACCTAGCTTTGAACATGAGTATAGTTTACACAACTGCTCAAAACCCCCCTGGAATCTGCACAAAGATCTATAAAAAAAAGAACATCTCCACAACATTTCCTCAAAATCACAACAAAAACTGACCTTTCTGACCTTAGCTGGCTTCTCTTGCAGGCTCACCAACCAATGATAAACACAAAGCATATGAAGAGTACGTGAATTTAAAGTTCACCTGTGTCTACCTGGTGTCTTAAGACTACATATAAAATGAGCCATTTCCTGTGACAAATGCACAGGTATCTTTGGCATTCTTCTAGCCAGCTCTCCCTGACAGTTTTGATACCTCAATACTCTAGGTTTCTCAAGTTAGGAGATCAGACCACCAGTCTCTAAATAGATACAGAGAAACTCCAAAGGTCAGATTCTGAATCAGGGGGTTGAAACTTGCCTAGAGAGGTCATGATCCCATGAGTATCCAGTATCTCGTTCTTGGCCAAAGTCCCCGGTAATGAGTAGCTGCCAATGGTTGAGCCAGTAGGTGCCTCCTGTGTTGCTTTCAGGACGACAGCCATGTCCCAGAACATGTTTGGACCCTAGAGACAACAAAGCCCAGGTCAGTTTATGAGTGGATTGTCAGGGGGAGGTGGTATGATTAGTTTTGAAGATGAGAGTGTAAGGACCTATTCCTGAAGACCATAAAAGATTTTTTTTTTTTTTTTTTACCATAAAAGATTTTTAAAAATTTTTTAACTATTAAAAACAAAAAAAAGGAGAGGCGGGGCAAGATGGCGGAAGAGTAGGGTCCCCAAGTCACCTGTCCCCACCAAATTACCTAGATAACCTTCAAATAATCCTGAAAATCTACGAATTTGGTCTGAGATTTATATATATATATTTTTAAATTTTATTTTTATTTTATGATAGTCACAGAGAGAGAGAGAAGCAGACACAGGCAGAGTGAGAAGCAGGCTCCATGCACCGGGAGCCCGATATGGGATTCGATCCCGGGTCTCCAGGATCGTGCCCTGGGCCAAAGGCAGGCGCCAAACCGCTGCGCCACCCAGGGATCCCTCGGTCTGAGATTTAAAGAGAGAACAGCTGGAATGCTACAGTGAGAAAAGTTCACGCTTCTATCAAGGTAGGAAGGGGGGGAGGGGGGAGAGGAAAGAAATAAAGAAACAAAAGGCATCCAAGGGGGAGGGGCTCCGCGAGGAGCCCTGCTAAGGCCAGGGCTAGTGTCCCAGGACAGGAAAGCCATGCCTGGAGAAGCAGGAGTTTCACCAATCTTCCCAAACTGAAAGGTGTTCACAGGGAGTTACAGCAGGATCCCAGGAGGGGCGAGGATGCCCTCAGGCTCCCTGGGACACTAATAGAGGCACCTGCGCCCCAGGGAAAGCGTGCCACACCCCGCGGCCCAGCTCCCTAAAGGGCTGCAGGGCGCACCTGGCTGGACCCGGGAGCAGCTCGGAGGTGCTCCGGCAGAGGCTCTGCACAGAGGGGGCTGCACGGCCCCAGGAGCAGGCTCAGGCCACGGCCCCAGGGAGTGGCTCAGGCCACGGCTCCGGGGCGGAAGGGGCCCAGCAGCCCGGAGCGCAAATCCAATAGCTCAGGCATGGAAGCACAGGGCGCCGGGGACACAGCCCAAGATCTGGCGCTCCCACCTGGACAGGCAGAAGCCAGGAGGGCCCAGGACAGCAGGGACACTCCTGCCCCAAGCTGAGCAGATCAGCGGCCCCGCCCCGGAGCCTCCAGGCCCTGCAGACAGAGAGCTCCAGAGTTACTGTGGGAGCTGACACCAGGGCTCCAGACCTGGCCTCTGCCACTGTTCTTGTTCCTCCTGGGGCCTCACAGGATAAATAACCCCCCACTGAGCCTCACAGTGGCCTCACCGGATACATAGCTTAAACATCTTTCACTGAGCCCTGCACCAGGCAGGGGGCTGAGCACCTTCCCCAAGTCCTAACACCTGAAAATCAGCACAGCAGGCCCCTCCCTCAGAAGACCAGCTAGACCCACAGGGGAAAAACAAATTATTGACAAAGCAGCACTGGAAAGTCCCAGGGGAAGTCGAGGGATTTACTGTATACAGAATCAGAGGATACTCCCATTGTTTTTTGTTTATTGATTTGTTTGCTTCCCCCCCCCCCTTTCTTTTCTTCTTTTTTATTTTTTTTCTCTTTTTTTTCTTTCTTTTTTTTTTTTTTTCATTTTCTTTTCTTCTTTCTCTTCTTTTTCTCCTTTTCCCAATACAACTTGTTTTTGGACACTCTGCACTTAACAAAATGACTAGAAGGAAAACCTCACCTCAAAAGAATCAGAAACAGTCCTCTCTCCCAGAGTTACAAAATCTGGATTACAATTCAATGTCAGAAAGCCAATTCAGAACCACGATTATAAAGCTACTGGTGGCTCTAGAAAAAAGCATAAAGACTCAAGAGACTTCAAGACTGCAGAATTTAGAACTAATAAGGCAGAAATTAAAAATCAATTGAATGAGATGCAATCCAAACTAGAGGTCCTAACGATGAGGGTTAACAAGGTGGAAGAATGAGTGAGTGACAGAAGACAAGTTGATGGCAAAGAGGAAAACTGAGAAAAAAAGAGACAATTAAAAGATCATGAATAGATTAAGGGAAATGAGTGACAGCCTGAGGAAGAAAAATCTACATTTAATTGGGGTTCCTGAGGGCACCGAAAAAAAAAAAAAACAGAGGTCCAGAATATGTATTTGAACAAATCATACCTGAAAACTTTCCTAATCTGGGAAGGGAAACAGGCATTCAGACCCAGGAAATAGAGAGATGCCCCCCTAAAAATCAATAAAAACCGTTCAACACCTTGACATTTAATAGTGAAGCCTGCAAATTTCAAAGATAAAGAGAAGATCCTTAAAGCAAGCAAGAGACAAGAGATCCCTAACTTATATGGGGAGAGATACCAGATTAACGGCAGACCTCTCCACAGAGACCTGGCAGGCCAGAAAGGGCTGGCAGGATATATTCAGGGTCCTAAATGAGAAGAACATACAACCAAGAATACGTTATCCAGCAAGGCTCTCATTCAGAATGGAAGGAGAGATAAAGAGCTTCCAAGACAGGAACTGAAAGAATATGTGACCACCAAGCCAGCTCTGCAAGAAACTTTAAGGGGGACTCTTAAAATTCCTCTTTAAGAAGAAATCCGATGGAACAATCCACAAAAACAGGGACTGAAAAGGTATCATGATGACACTAAACTCATATCTTTCAATAGTAACTCTGAACGTGAAGGGGCTCAATGACCCCATCAAAAGGCGCAGGGTTTCAGACTGGATAAAAAAGCAAGACCCATCTATTTGCTGTCTACAAGAGACTCATTTTAGACAGAAGGACACCTACAGCCTGAAAATAAAAGGTTGGAGAACCATTTACCATTCAAATGGTTCTCAAAAGAAAGCAGGGGTAGCCATCCTTATATCAGATAAACTAAAATTTACTCCGAAGACTGTAGTGAGAGATGAAGAGGGACACTATATCATACTTAAAGGATCTATCTATGAAGAGGACTAAACAATCATCAATATATATACTCCGAATGTGGGAGCTGCCAAATATATCAATCAACTAATAACCAAAGTTAAGACAAACTAGGATAATAATACACTTATACTTGGTGACTTCAATGCAGCACTTTCTACACTCGATAGGTCTTCTAAGCACATCTCCAAAGAAACAAGCTTTAAATGATACACTGGACTAGATGGATTTCACAGATATCTACAGAACTTTACGTCCAAACACAACTGAATACACTTTCTTCTCTAGTGCACATGGAACTTTCTCCAGAATAGACCACATACTGGGTCACAAATAGGTCTGAACCGATACCAGAAGACTGGGATCGTCCCCTGCATATTCTCAGACCATAATGCCTTGAAATTAGAACTAAATCACAAGAATAAGTTTGGAAGGACGTCAAACACGTGTAGGTTAAGGACCATCCTGCTAAAAGATGAAAGGGTCAACCAGGAAATTAAGGAAGAATTAAAAAGATTCATGGAAACTAATGAGAATGAAGATACAACTGTTCAAAATCTTTGGGATACAGCAAAAGCAGTCCTGAGGGGGAAATACATCGCAATACAAGCAGCCATCCAAAAACTGGAAAGAACTCAAATACAGAAGCTAACCTTACACCTAAAGGAGCTACAGAAAAAACAGCAAATAGATCCTACACCCAGCAGAAGAGAATTAATAAAGATTCGCGCAGAACTCAATGAAATCGGGACCAGAAGAACTCTGGAACAAGATTAACAAAACCAGGAGTTGGTTCTTTGAAAGAATTAATAAGAGAGATAAACCATTAGCCAGCCTTATTAAAAAGAAGAGAGAAAAGACTCAAATTAATAAAATCATGAATGAGAAAGGAGAGATCACTAACAACACCAAGGAAATACAAACGATTTTAAAAACATATTATGAGCAGCTATATGCCAATAAGTTAGGCAATCTAGAAGAAATGGATGCATTTCTGGAAAACCTCAAACTACCAAAACTGGAACTGGAAGAAACAGAAAACCTGAACAGGCCAATAGCCAGGGAGGAAATTGAAGCAGTCATCAAAAACCTCCCAAGACACAAGAGTCCAGGGCCAGATGGCTTCCCAGGGGAATTCTATCAAACGTTTAAAGAAGAAACCATACCTATTCTACTAAAGCTGTTCGGAAAGATAGAAAGAGATGGAACTTCCAAACTCGTTCTATGAGTCCAGCATCACCTTAAATTCAAAACCAGACAAAGACCCCACCAAAAAGGAGAATTCTAGACCAATATCCCTGATGAACATGGATGCAAAAATTCTCAACAAGATACTAGCCAATAGGATCCAACAACACATTAAGAAAATTATTCACCATGACCAAGTAGGATTTATCCCCGGGACACAAGGCTGGTTCAACACTCGTAAAACAATCAATGTGATTCATCATATCAGCAAGAGAAAAAACAAGAACCATATGATCCTCTCATTAGATGCAGAGAAAGCATTTGACAAAATACAGCATCCATTCCTGATCAAAACTCTTCAGAGTGTAGGGACAGAGGGAACATTCCTCGACATCTTAAAAGCCATCTACAAAAAGCCCACAGCAAATATCATTCTCAATGGGGAAGCACTGGGAGCCTTTCCCCTAAGATCAGGAACAAGACAGGGATGTCCACTCTCACCACTGCTATTCAACATAGTATTGGAAGTCCTAGCCTCAGCAATCAGACAACAAAAAGAAATAAAAGGCATTCAAATTGGCAAAGAAGAAGTCAAACTCTCCCTCTTCGCCGATGACATGATACTCTACAAAAAACCCCAAAAGCCTCCACCCCAATATTGCTAGAACTCATACAGCAATTTGGCAGTGTGGCAGGATACAAAATCAATGCCCAGAAGTCATTGGCATTTCTATACAGCAACAATGAGACTGAAGAAAGAGAAATTAAGGAGTCAGTCCCATTTACAATTGCACCCAAAAGCATAAGATACCTAGGAATAAACCTAACCAAAGAGGTAAAGGATCTATACCCTAAAAACTATAGAACACTTCTGAAAGAAATTGAGGAAGACACAAAGAGATGGAAAAATATTCCATGCTCATGGATTGGCAGAATTAATATTGTGAAAATGTCAATGTGACCCAGGGCAATGTACACGTTTAATGCAATCCCTATCAAAATACCATGGACTTTCTTCAGAGAGTTAGAACAAATTATTTTAAGATTTGTGTGGAATCAGAAAAGACCCCGAATAGCCAGGGGAATTTTAAAAAAGAAAACCATAGCTTGGGGCATCACAATGCCAGATTTCAGGTTGTACTACAAAGCTGTGGTCATCAAGACAGTGTGGTACTGGCACAAAAACAGACACATAGATCAGTGGAACAGAATAGAGAACCCAGAGGTGGACCCTGAACTTTATGGTCAACTAATATTCGATAAAGGAGGAAAGACTATCCACTGGAAGAAAGACAGTCTCTTCAATAAATGGTGCTGGGAAAATTGGACATCCACATGCAGAAGAATGAAACTAGACCACTCTCTTGCACCATACACAAAGATAAACTCAAAATGGATGAAAGATCTAAATGGGAGACAAGATTCCATCAAAATCCTAGAGGAGAACACAGGCAACACCCTTTTTGAACGTGGCCACAGTAACTTCTTGCAAGATACATCCACGAAGGCAAAAGAAACAAAAGCAAAAATGAACTATTGGGACTTCATCAAGATAAGAAGCTTTTGCACAGCAAAGGATACAGTCAACAAAACTAAAAGACAACCTACAGAATGGGAGAAGATATTTGCAAATAACATATCAGATAAAGGGCTAGTTTCCAAAATCTATAAAGAACTTGTTAATCTCAACACCAAAGAAACAAACAATCCAATCATGAAATGGGCAAAAGACATGAAGAGAAATCTCACAGAGGAAGACATAGACATGGCCAACATGCACATGAGAAAATGCTCTGCATCACTTGCCATCAGGGAAATACAAATCAAAACCACAATGAGATCCCACCTCACACCAGTGAGAATGGGGAAAATTAACAAGGCAGGAAACAACAAATGTTGGAGAAGATGTGGATAAAGGGGAACCCTCTTGCACTGTTGGTGGGAATGTGCACTCTGGAAAACTGTGTGGAGGTTCCTCAAAGAGTTAAAAATAGTTCTGCCCTAAGACCCATCAATTGCACTGCTGGGGATTTACCCCAAAGATACGGATGCAATGAAACGCCGGGACAGCTGCACCCTGATGTTTATAGCAGCCATGTCCACAATAGCCAAACTGTGGAAGGAGCCTCGGTGCCCATCGAAAGATGAATGGATAAAGAAGATGTGGTTTATTTATACAATGGAATATTACTCAGCCATTAGAAATGACAAATACCCACCATTTGCTTCAACGTGGATGGAACTGGAGGGTATTATGCTGAGTGAAAAAAATCAATCGGAGAAGGACAAACATTATATGGTCTCATTTATTTGGGGAATATAAAAAATAGTGAAAGGGAATAAAGGGGAAAGGAGAAAATATAAGTGGGAAATATCAGAAAGGGATACAGAACATGAAAGACTCCTAACTCTAGGAAACGAACTAGGGGTGGTGGAAGTGTAGGTGGGCGGGGGCTGGGGTTGACTGGGTCTCAGGCACTGAGGTGGGCACTTGACGGGATGAGCCTTGGGTGTTATTCTATATGTTGGCAAATTGAACACCAATAAAAAAGAAATTTATACATAAAAAAATAAAAATAAAACAAAAAGGAAAATGAAGGCAAAGACTTCTCTGATCCCCAACATGGGTCAGGCAGAGAATCAAGGCACCAAGTTTCCTCTCTATCACTTTGATTTCACTTCACTACCCAGTATAGCACCGAAACCTAATTTGCCAGTGGGTGCATGACAAAAGAGCATGTGGGGAGATTTTCCAGGTTACAGTTTTCTGAGGTCTAAAGATCACAAAAGCAAGGTTATGATCTTTGGGGAACCACAGTATCATCTGGTTCAAATGTTTTGAAAGCATTAAGGACCAGAGTATAGGGTATATCCTCCCTCCTCCAAGTGCAACCCATAGATCATCACCAACTGCGAGCTTGTGAGTACAGAATCTTAACCCAGACCTCCTGAATCAGAATCTACATTTTTATAAGATCTCCTGGTGATTAAAATGTGAGACATCAATTATGTTAAAATTTGAGAAGCACAGGTTAGAGCTATCAGATCCAGAGTGGAATCACCTGAAGTTTTTAAAAAACACAGATGTCTGGGACCCACCACAAGATCTCATTTAACTGGAATCAAGTATGGCATGAGCATCACAATTTTACAAAAATCTCCCCAATCAATTCTGTGTAGTAGCAAGGTTTGAGAACCACTGGTTTACAGAAAGCACTAAATGTCCCATCAATCAGAAGAGACTATTTGTATTATGTTCCAAAGGCCAAAGGCTAGAGCCCTAGCCAGAAAATAATACTCCAGGTGTGGAAGCAGAGGGACATAGTGCCCTCTGAAACTACTTGAGGTTTTCAGGTCTCTTCTCTCCGCTTCCTCCCAGACAATTATTTACCTTTTCCTCCTGTTCTGATATATCAAGGCCTGTCTGAGGACCTTCCCCAGGAGCCCAGACTTTGATGTTCTCAGAGTGCACTTGCTGACTGGATGCCTGACCCAGGAAGTTTTCCTCCTCTTCCTCCTCCTTTTTCACCGTCACTGAGCCCCAGGCAGTTAAATCCATGGCCTCTCTCAGTTGTGCAGTCATCTTCTATGCTCAGGAGGGGAATTATTATAGCTGGGGGCTGCCCAGCAGAGATCAAGTCCCATCTAATTTTTAAGTTTCAAAAGCTTCTTCTTAGGTTTCTTCCCAGGGCCAAAATGAAGACTGTCTACTGAAAAACCAGAAAACGTTGTTAGCATTGAGCAGAGGTATGCCTGGATGCCATAAAGCCGACTGGCCAATTTCACCAGTGCCTAAGCAGCAGCCACTATGGCAAGAGTCTGCTCTACTGCACCTTCATAGAATGGAGAGGGTTCAACTGCAAACATGTAATTTGTTCCCATAATAATCACAAATAGCTTTATATAATATTTATTGAGTTTTTTTCCTGTTTATAGGGTTAACGTATTTTTATTATAAAACTTGAAAAATACAGAAAAGACTAAGAACAATCAGTCCTACTCCATCTCCAAGGAGATGCAGCACAGAATTTAAGGGAAAAGCTTCAACCATAGTGACAATCATGACTTAATAAACTTTTTAACTATAGGGATATATATTTCATAATTATCACGGGTTTTTTTTTTAAGAAGGAATATTAAAACACAGAGAGTGCTTTTTTTTAAATTACCAAAGATACACAATAGCATAAACTAAAGAATCTCAAGAAAAAGACTGAGAGTCTACATACCAACATTTAGGGGTGGTCATCTTTGGGTGATGTAGTTTTGAGATTCTTTTTGTTTGCTTACTTTTGCCACTAATTCTAAATGCCCTGTATTACTCTGAAGATTAAAAAAAGAGATGTTTTATGTTGCCATTCTCCATGCTTATTATTTTTAGTAGCTATACAATAACCTATAGTATTAATTCCCCTATTCAGTCATTCTCAACCAAAAAGAACCAAGTAGGGGTGCCTGGGTGGCTCAGCGGTTTAGCGCCACCTTTGGCTCAGGGTGTGATTCCTGGTCCCGGGATCAAGTCCCACGTCAGGCTCCCTGCATGGAGCCTGCTTTTCCCTCTGCCTGTGTCTCTGCCTCTCTCTCTGTTCTCTTTGTCTCTCATGAATAGATAAAATATATATATTTTTTAAAAAAAGGACCAAGTGATACAGAAATACACAGAATTAAATATATTCCCCCCACAGTTGTTACCAGTCATCAGTGTTTTCTCTGCATTTCCTTACAGATATGTACACCTTGACAGAGAGTGCTTATTTCCCAAAGCAGAGATTAGATCACATCTGTGCATTTTTCAGCAACTTGCATTGTTTCTTTCTTAACTCAATCTCTGCATTTCACATAGTATTGCACAGTCTTAGATCTTTCCATATAAATATATACAGAGCTACTTCATTCTGGCACAGAATTCTGAATCATACCTATACTGTAACTTAATCCTACTTATGAGCCATTGCTTTAGTAAAAGGCATTTTGATTGTTTTCAGTTTATATTCTTAATAATTAACGCTAAATTTTTTTCTGTGCAAATAGTTTTTTCTTCTGCTGAATTACTCCCTCGGAATAAAGGCTCTGATTACTGGTTCAAGGATTTCATGGTTGATAAATATGCCCAACTGCTTTCTTAAAGGATCACACCAACAACTTAACAGTACCCCTTCATCATAATTGACTGTGTCGTTGTTTAATTTGTGAGTAAAACGATCGTACTGGTTTAGTTTATTATGAGGAAATTAAATTTTTTCTATTCCCCTTCAGACGTTTTACTGGGGGAAAAAGGCGCTAAATTTTGTCAAGTCCCCTTTTGCTACTATTGAAGTAATCGCATGCTTTCTCCTAAGTCAGACTTATTGGCAATTTACTGTACACACTGAATTTCCTGATGCAACAGTACTTTCACTCCTGCACCAATCCTCAATTCTGGGCGATTATTCTTTCCATCGTCCATTCTTTCCGCGAGGTGAATTCTACCAGGTACAAAGGCCCGAACAGCCCCCTCGCTGCGTCCCTCCGGAACTGCCTCCTGCTAACAAACCTCACGCCCGCCTCCACCCAGACAGCACAGACTCCCCAGAGAGGGCTCCCCCAGTGCCCCGGCCCCCTGCAGACCCCAGGCGGCCGCACTCCGGGGCGAGCCTGCCCCAGGCCCCAGGGCCGCCCGAGTTCAAGGTCCCCGGCCAGACCCCGGCAGGCGCCAGCTGGGTTTCTGAAGTGATGGGACGCGCAGCCGCCTTAGGAACAAACAGGCCAGGGCCCCCGAGAGGAGGTCGCGGCGGTCCGCCCTTGGGAGGGCCCACCCCCGCCAGACTCACTGACCGTGTCTCGAAGACGCCCGGCAGGAGCTCACGAGCACAACGGCACAAGGCCGGCAGGCTCCGACGCCCCGCGCCTCCGCGCGAGAACAATAACCGGACAGGAAGTGCCTGGGGCCGGGCTTCCGGCTTCTCAAGTCTCCAGGCCGGCCTCTCTAGGAATCTCGGAGGTGCTGTCTTCTCGATGGATGTCCAAAATCGCCGCAGACCAGCGATGGGAGCCAAGTGCTTTGGAAGGTGCAGGTGACCTGTGGCCCCGAGCTTCAGGGAAGGGGACATCCCCTGGCTCGGCAGTACTTAGGCAAGGCGCGTATGCAGGAACCTGAAGCCAGAAAGCATTGGTCTGTAGAAAGCCCTGATAATTTGGCCCCAAACGTTTTATTTTGAAAATAAAAAAAAAAAAAAAAGGAAAAAGAAAGAAAATACAAACGGTACAGAATGGTACCATTAATACCTGTTTCCTCCACCTGGACTCAACACTTGGCTACATTTGCCACCTTTCTATATATACTAAAATATTTTTGAAAGTTGTAAACATCAAAACACTTCATGCGAAATACTTCGATTGCATCCTTTAATAAATATTCTCCAAACGCTATACCACCATTACATATCGGTAAGAAAATGAACAATTCCGTAATATCATCTAATATCCGACGATATCAAATCTCCCCAACTGTCCTACAACGTATTTCATAATTTTGTTCTTCCAAATCAGTTTCACACAGTGCATTTGGTTATGGCTTTTTTAGGGTCATATTTTACCTTTTATTTCGAATTTAACAATTCACAGTAAGTTGGAAAGGTAATAATCCTGCCTCCAGTTTCCCTCAACAGGTACAACCTACATAATTATCGCTTAATATAAAAATCAGGAAATGGATACTGGTATAATATCTGTGTAGACTTCCACTCACACCTACTTCTACCTTTCTCACATATTTGTGTGACCACTACCACAATCAAGATACACAACTGTTCAACATCACAAAGACCTTGATAAGTGCTACCCTCCCTCTCCCTCCTGTCCCCACCCACCACCCCCAAGCTCTGGCAACCACTAACCTTTCATCTCTATATAGTTATGTCATTTTAGAGTATTACATAGATAGAATCATACATAATACCTTTCGAGATCGGATTTTTAATCAGCATAATTTTCTTGAAATTCTACTTTTCATTGGAGCAACGTGTCATTCGTTTTATTGCACAGTAATAAGTATTCATGGTATAGATAAAAAACTATTTTGGCCACTTGTTGAGGCTATTTGGGTTCCTTACAGACGCTTATAAGTGCTATAAACAGTCACATACAGGAGTACAAATACTGGGTCATAACATAGGTGCGTGTTTGGTTTTGTAAGAAACTGCCAAGCTTTTTCTCCAGAGTGGCTGTACCATTTAACAGTTCCAGCAACATATAAGATCCAGTTTCTCGGTACCCTTGCCAAGATTTAACATTTTTTTTCTTTTAAGCTATTCTGATAGATGTGCTGTGATTTTAAACCCTAATGGTTAGTGACGGTAAACATCTCGTCATTTATTTGCTATCTATATTTCAGTGAAAGTCTTTACATGTCTTTTGCTCATTTTCTACTTGAATCTATTATTGTTGAGTTTTGAGATATATAGGCTAGATACAAATCTTGCTGGATATATGATTTACAAGTATTTTCCCCAAGTCTGTAATGTCTTATCACTTTTAAGGGTTTTTTGGTTTTGTTTTGTTTTTGCAGAGCAAGTTATTTTCATTGAGATAAGGTTCAATTTATCATTTTTCCTTTTATGGAGGCTGCTTTTGATATATAAGTTTAAGAGTTCTTGCTTAGTCCTAGCTCTTGACTATATATGTATATATTTATGTATATTTGCCTATGGATATTCCAATTGCACCAGCAGCATTTTTTAAAAGGCTATCCCTCTTTTACTGAATTGCTCTTGTATCTTTGTCATAAACCAATTAAGCAGTGTGAGTCTATTTCTGGCTCTTAGTGTCTTATGGCTCTTTAATATTTTTTAAGAACAACCTTCCTCATTCACTTTTTATACCTTTCATTCTGGAAATTTTAATACATATACAAAAGCAGAGATGAATACAATGAACTCCCAATATTCATCCAGTATCAACAATTACCACCCTTCCCTTTTTCATCATATTTTTTAAGAATCTAGTGCAGTTTTCTTATACAATATCCCATGTTCTAAACTTATTTCTCATGGTGTCAATTTATCTTGTTCCTCTGCCTCCTGTATCTCCTGTAAACTGGCAATTAGGTCTACAAAGCTTGAAAAAATTCAGGTTACACTTTTGGCTTATTGCATCATATGAGGAGGTACATATCGGAGGCTGTCTCAGTCTTAGTGATGTTATAGTTTAACTGGTTAAGAGGTGAATGCCAGCATCTCCACTGTTAAAGTACGTCTTTCCCTTTGTAATTACATAATCTGTAGTGATTCTCCTATAGCACAGATATAAAGCATCTCCATATTCATTACCTCATAACAACTTTGTAAGGTATTCTCCCTCCTGTTATACAGATGAGAAAATCAAGGCTCCAAGAAATGAAGGCATCTGTCCAAGCAAAGTAGCAGAAGCTGACTTACACCCAAGTCTTAAGATTTTAAATCTTGGGCCTTTCCAATTTTCACTCTTGTGTACCTTTCAGTCTAATGAGGAACCAGCCCTCAAGGAACTCTGGGGTTGAATTAGTAACATTTATTTACACATCAGTTCACCACTACTATTAGAAACACAATCCTGATACTAAGGCATTTATGATCCAGCTGCAGAATTGGGAGTTTTGAGAATTACAATATAAAATTAGCAACTCAATAATATAGGATGAATGAAATATCAAATGTACAAAAAGCACAGACTGAATGAATGATTGGTTCAGAGGAATGGGCCTGATCACAGAGGTGGATTCTGAATTGATTTAATCAGAGCTTTAAGACCTTGGTTCCGGGTGAAACTTAGGTAGTAAGTTGAGTACTGGAGAAGAATGTTATTTCTTGAGTACCAAGCTTTCGTATGTAATGGTGAAATGTCGATTAGAACTTTTCAGTAATAGTAGCAGAGATCAACAGCTCGGGATGGGGTTAAGGATTTTTTTTTCCCTATGAACAAGGAAAGCAACATAGGACTGTCCTTCCATTTTGATATTCTAGATCTGCTAGGTTTCAAATATTCAGGTTGAAAAATAGTTTTCTTTGGCATCAGTGTTAACAGCTGGACATAATATTGTTTTTTCCATAATAAGCCAGTATTTTACCATCAAAACAAACTATGTATATTATTATCTACTAATACCATAAAAATTCTGAAAGCTGTATTTAATAGTCTTAGACTATTAAATCCAAAGTTAGCTATCCACCATTCTTTCTCTTACTATAAAAAGGAGTATTTATGAGGTTCCCAGAACCCTAATATTGACATACTGAACAAACATTACATCATGTTCTAGATTCTGACCATATCTTTCACCCAACTTTATTGACAACTAATTTCACAAAATATGTTCACAAATGTCCTTTCACTTAATCCTCAAACCCTTTGAGGTAGGCATTATGTCTACATTTGACTGACAGAGAAACGGAGGCCTTGAGCTGACTTAACAACACATGGCTAGTAAGAGAAAGAGCTAGGCCCTAAACCTAGGTCTTCTAACTCCCAATTTAGTAGTCTTAAGTTGTCCACAACAGCAGACTCTTGCCCCCTCAACTCCTGTCTGACATGTCTCAATCATATGGTCAATAGAGACTTTTTATAGTAGTGACACTATTTTTAAAAGGTATAATATACACATTTTCAGAAACAATGTCCATTTTTAATACAAAGATATTTTGCTATCATTTACATCTACATCATTACATCTCATAAGTTTCTTCAGTCTTCAATTGCTCTAAGGTCCCTTTCCAGAGTCATAATAAATGGTCTGGAATATAGTATTCTTTACCTAGAATTTGCTTTATGTTTTTGTAGTCTTGAAAGTCTAGATTAACTTTCACATGCAAGTCATTTGTCTACAAAAGGGTCAATCGTGAATTTTTTCCTTGCAAGGACCAAATACACCGTTTGTCTAACAGTTACTTAGATAGGCAGAGATTCTATCTCATTTTACAAATGACATTAGATTTTCTGAATCTGTCTTGGACTCAGTGGCATTTTGGAGCCAAGAGAATTCCTCCACACTATGGACTTCCTGTTGAAGATGAAGGTTTGAAATCTGAGAGAATTCTTTTTCAGACTCTTCACATTCACAGAGTTTTCCATCTGTATGAATTTTCTGATGTACAGTAAGGTTTTTTCTCTGCCTAAAAACTTTACTACAATCATTACACCCATATGGTTTTTCCCCTGTATGGATCCTCTGGTGGCCAACTAAATTCCTCTTAGAAGTAAAAGATTTTCTACACTTCTCACACTCATATGGTTTTTCCCCAGTGTGCATCCTCTGATGCACAACCAGGTTTTTATTCTGACTGAAGTCTTTACCACACTCATTACATTTATAAGGCTTTTCTCCAGTGTGGATTCTTTGATGTACCATAAGATTTCTACTAGAGGTAAGAACTTTTCTACATATATGACATTCATAGGTTTTTTCCCCACTGTGAATTCTTTGATGTTCAATAAGGTTTCTGTTGTAAGTAAAGCCTTTCCCACACTCATTACATGCATAGGGCTTTTCACCAGTGTGGATTCTTTGATGAGCTATAAGGTTTGAGCGGTAACTGAAGACTTTCCCACAGTCACTGCATTTGTAAGATTTTTCCCTTGTGTGAATCCTCTGATGTCCAATGAGGCTCTTCTTCAAAATGAAGCATTTACCACATTCATTACACTCATAGGGTTTCTCACCACTGTGGATTCTCTTATGTTCAATGAGGTTTCTGTTAGAACTGAAAGCTCTTCCACACTCACTGCATTCAAAGGGCTTTTCTCCAGTGTGGATTCTCCGATGTACAAGCAGGCTTGAATTATAACTAAAAGCCTTCCCACAATCTTCACATTTGTAGGATTTCTCCTGTGTATGTAGTTTCTGATGAACCATGAAACTTTTGCTCATGATGAAAGTTTTCCCGCACTCTCGACATTCATATGGCTTTTCCCCGTTGTGTAGTCTCTCGTGGTCAATGAGGTTTCTGTTAGAACCAAAGACCTTACCACAGTCTTTACATTCATAGAGATTCTCTCCAGTATGGAACCTCTGATGTAAAATGAGGCTTTTTTTTAGAATGAAAACTTTCCCACATTCATTACATTCGTAAGGTTTCTCTCCATTGTGGAGTCTCTGGTGGTCAAAAAGGTAAGCACTCTGAGTGAAGGCTTTCCCACATTCAGTACATTTATACGGCTTCTCTCTGCTATGCATCCTCTTATGGTCAATGAGATTTGACTTTGAATTGAAAATCTTCCCACATTTTTTACAACCAAAAGTCTTCTTTTCTGTGTGTACTCTCTGGTGTAAGAGGAGGCTTTTGCTTCGAATGAAAACTTTTCCACATTCTTTACATTTGTATGGGTTCTCTGCACTGTGGAGCCGCTGATGGTCAACAAGGTAAGTGGTCTGAGCAAAGGTTTTTCCACACTCATCACATTTATAGGGTTTTTCCCCAGAGTGGATTCTCTGGTGCAGAATGAGGCTCTTCTTCAGAATGAAAGCTTTCTGACACTTGTTACATTTATAAGGTTCTTCCCCTTTGTGGAGCCTCTGATGGTCAATGAGGTAAGCATTCTGAGAGAAAACTTTCCCACACTCATTACATTTATAAGGTCTCTCCCCAGAATGGCGCCTTAGATGTATAATAAGGCCCGAGTGCCTATAGAAGCCCTTTCCACACTCCTTGCATTTATAAGGCTTCTCCCCAGTGTGAATTCTCTGATGGTTCAGAAGGTAAGCACTTTGAGAGAAGGCTTTCCCACATTCATTACATTTATAAGGTTTCTCCCCAGAATGGTTTCGTAAATGCATTAAAAGGCTTGAGCGCTGAATGAAGCCTTTTCCACATTCCTTACATTTATGAGGTTTCTCACCAGTGTGGATTCGCCGATGGTTTATAAGATGGGAGATTTTATTGAAATGTTTATAACATATATCACATTTATAAAACTTCTTTCCTTCAGTAGCTATTAAACTTTCAGAAAGAGCTGAACCTAAAGTCAAGCTTTCTCCAAATTCCTTCCACTTCTGTCCTCGTTTTTCTGGTAGAGTCCTTTTCTTCTTATCTCGTTCACAGAGAGGAACATTCTTCAGAGTATCTCTTTCCCCTGTTTTAGTTCCCCAATAACTTGCCAAAACTTGCCATTCACACGCTTCCTCAAAATCAAGGGTCTGGGGGACACTTCCTTGAAGTCTTTTGAATGTTCCTTTCTGAGAATCAGCTCTTTGAGAAATGGCTGGCTTTGGTGTCACCTCCTCATTCTCAGTCATGGTCTCCCATTCTGGTAAAAGGAATTAAAAATGCAAATGTTACCATGTAACTGTCAGTGAGAATAAGATCTTCATATGACTTTAAAATATTCAAATGAATTGCATTTATATGAATACAAAAAGACACTTTTCATTAAATCAAAGTACAAAGCAGAATACTACACTGACAAGGTTATAAATATATTAACAGAAAACTCACTTAGACACTTCTAAGCTCTTTGTCTTCAAGAAATAGAAAGATGTAAAAATGTAAATGATGTTGAGTAAACAGATGCAAGGAAGAACCAGAGAGAGAACGTGTGATCATGTGTAGATGGTTCAGACATGAGGCTCAGGATGTTGGACAGAATAGAGAGAATCACTGGGCTTATAAAGAACTCTTTATCTTCTTCATGCTAGGAAGATGGGAACTCTAATGGAGAGAAAATATACCTAAGGATCCTAAAATAATCTTTTATTTTTGAAGAGTCAAGTGCATAAACATTTAATTACTTGAAAGCAAGTAACCTATAGGGGAAAAAAATCTATTAAAAAGCAACTTAATGTTTAGAATTCATCGGTAACTACGACTATTCCTTTTAAAGTTGAGAAATGGAAAACTTCAAGACTGACTTAGATTCAGTTAAATATAAAAATGAAGAGGGATGCCTAGGTGGCTCAGTTGTTTACGTATCTGATTCTTTTTTCTTTTCTTAAAATTTTATTTATTGATTCATGAGAGACACAGAGAGAGTCAGAGACACAGGCAGAGGGAGAAGCAGGCTCCCTGCAGGGAGCCCGATGTGGGACTCGATCCCAGGACCCCGGGATCACGCCCTGAGCCAAAGGTAGATGCTCAAGCGCTGAGCTACCCAGGTGTCCCAAGTATCGGATTCTTGATTTCAGCCCAGGTCAGGATCTCAGGGTTGTGAGACTGAGCCCCATGCTGGGCTCTGCATTCTGCATGGAGTCTGCTTGTCTCTCTCCCTCCCTCTGTTTGCACTCTAAAATAAATAAATAAAATTTAAAAAATATATATAAGAAAAAATACAGAATGAAAAAAATCAGATTTCTTAAAAACATGAACATATCTATAAAATGATGTGGCTGCACTAGTAAATTGCTAGTCCCTTTCTACTCCAACATTCTCAAATATTGTAAAATGTGAAATTACTATTTTTTAAAATTACTATTTTTTATTTTGATGGAATCTTGTCTCACATTTAGATCTTTCATCCATTTTGAGTTTATCTTTGTGTATGCTGAAAGACAGTGGTCTAGATTCATTCTTCTGCATGTGGATGTCCAATTTTCCCAGCACCATTTATTGAAGAGACTGTCTTTCTTCCAGTGGATAGTCTTTCCTCCTTTATCGAATATTAGTTGACCATAAAGTTCAGGGTCCACTTCTGGGTTCTCTATTCTGTTCCATTGATCTATGTGTCTGTTTTTGTGCCAGTACCACACTGTCTTAATGACCACAGATTTGTAGTACAATCTGAAATCTGGCATTGTGATGCCCCCAGCTATGGTTTTCTTTTTTAAAATTCCCCTGGCTATTCGGGGGTCTTTTCCATCAAAATCCTAGAGGAGAAAACAGGCAGCACCCTTTTTGAATTCGGCCACAGTAACTTCTTGCAAGATACATCCACGAAGGCAAAAGAAACAAAAGCAAAAATGAACTATTGGGACTTCATCAAGATAGGAAGCTTTTGCACAGCAAAGGATACAGTCAACAAAACTAAAAGACAACCTACAGCATGGGAGAAGATATCTGCAAATGACCTATCAGATGAAGGGCTAGTTTCCAAGATCTATAAAGAACTTCTTAAACTCAACACCAAAGAAACAAACAATCCAATCATGAAATGGGCAAAAGACATGAACAGAAATCTCACAGAGGAAGACATAGACATGGCCAACACACACGTGAGAAAATGCTCTGCATCACTTGCCATCAGGGAAATACAAATCAAAGCCACAATGAGATACCACCTCACACCAGTGAGAATGGGGAACATTAACAAGGCAGGAAACCACAAATGTTGGAGAGGATGCGGAGAAAAGGGAACACTCTTACACTGTTGGTGGGAATGTGAACTGGTGCAGCCACTCTGGAAAATTGTGTGGAGGTTCCTCAGAGTTAAAAATAGATCTGCCCTACGACCCAGCAAATGCACTGTTGGAGATTTACCCCAAAGATACAGATGCAATGAAACACCGGAACACCTGCACCCCGATGTTTCTAGCAGCAATGTCCACAGTAGCCAAACTGTGGAAGGAGCCTCGGTGTCCATCGAAAGATGAATGGATAAAGAAGCTGTGGTTTATGTATACATTGGAATATTACTCAGCCATTAGAAATGACAAATACCCACCATTTGCTTCAACGTGGATGGAACTGGAGGGTATTATGCTGAGTGACGTAAGTCAATCGGAGAAGGACAGTGTATGTTCTCATTCATTTGGGGAATATAAAGGAAGGGAGAAGAAATGCGTGGGAAATATCAGAAAGGGAGACAGAACATAAAGACTCCTAACTCTGGGAAACGAACTAGGGGTGGTGGAGGGGAGGAGGGCGGGGGGTGGGGGTGAATGTGTGACGGGCACTGAGGGGGGCACTTGACGGGATGAGCACTGGGTGTTATTCTATATGTTGGTAAATTAAACACAAATAAAAATAAATTTATTATTTAAAAAAAACTGCTAGAATTAAGTAAGTAGAGCAAGGATGCAGGACACAAGATCAATGAACAAAAAATAGTGGCATTTCTACACAATAGCACTAAACAATCCTAAAAGGAAATTAAGAAATAACAGCATAAAAAAAGAATAAAAGACTTGGGAATAAATGTTAAAAAGAAGTACAAAACTTATACTCTGAAAACTATGAAACATTTTGAATGAAGTTAAAGACTAAATAAAAGAAAATGTATCCCATGTTCATGGACTGGAAGATTTAAAAATTGTTAATATGGCAGTGATCCCCACATTAATCTACAAATTCAGTGCAATCCCTATCATAATTTCACTGGCTTCTTCACAGAAATTGACAAACTAATCCTAAAATTGAGATGGAAACTCAACAAGGCTAGAATAGTTAAAACATACTGAAAAAGAAGAACACAATTGAAGGGCTCACCTTTCCTGATTTTATTTTATTTCATTTTTAAAAAAGATTTTAATTCATTTATTCATGAAGACACGGAAAGGGAGAGGCAGACACAGGCAGAGGGAGAAGCAGGCTCCATGCAGGGAGCCCGATGTGGGACTCGATCTCGGATCCCTGGATCACGCCTTGAGCCAAGAGCAGACACTCAACTGCTGAGCCACCCATGCCTAACCCTTCCTGATTTTAAAATGTACTTCAAAGCAACAGTAATAACACAGGGTGAAAAAAAAAATGACAGGGTGCCACTGACATTAAGGATAGACATATAATCAAAGGAACAGAATTGAGAGTCCAGAAATAAGCCTTCACATTTATGGTTAATTGATTTTCAAAAGGGTACCAAAACAATTCAATGGGGGGAAAATGGTGCTGAGATAGTGGAATGGTGCTGAGACATAGAAAGAATAAAGGTGAATCTTTACTTACACCACATACAAAAATGAATCAAGATGGATCAAAATACTTAACCTGAGAACTGAAACTATAAAACTCTTAGAAGAAAACAGACATAAATCTCCATGACCTTGAATTAGGCAATAGTTTCTTAAAATAAGTCAGTCAGAGAAAGACAATTATATAGTATTTCACTCATATGCAGAATATAAAAAACAGTGCAGAGGATCATAAGGGAAGGGAAAGAAAACTAAATGGGAAGAAATCAGAGAGAGAAATCATGAGACACCCTTAACTTTGGGAAACAAACTGAGGATTACTGAAGGGGAGGTAGGTGGGGGCTGGGGTCACTGGGTGATGAGCACTAGGTATTATACACAACTGATAAATTATTAATACTTTTGAAACAGGGGATCCCTGGGTGGCGCAGCGGTTTGGCGTCTGCCTTTGGCTCAGGGCGCGATCCTGGAGACCCGGGATCGAATCCCACATCGGGCTCCCGGTGCATGGAGCCTGCTTCTCCCTCTGCCTGTGTCTCTGCCTCTCTCTCTCTCTCTGTGACTATCATAAATTAAAAAAAAAAAAAAAATTAAAAAAAATACTTTTGAAACAGATTGAATTGAAATTCAAAAAATACATAAGGCAAAAAATGATATATATTAGTGACATTCTCTTCTTAAAATGAGTTACAAAAATATATGTAACATCATATATGCAAAAAATATTCATAATTATATGTATATCCACACACAAAAAATGAATTTTTAAAGGCCTAAAAATGTCAAGGGAAAGTGAAATGAGACATATCTTCCTATAATATTTTATATTTTACAGAGAATGTAATCATGGGTTAATTGTGTAATTAATAACTAAAAAAGAAGCTTGTAAATAAATCTTACTTTTCTATAAAAAGGAAATTAATCAAAATTAGTAAGTTTTGTGGTTCAAAGGATTTCACTGAGAGAGTGAAAAGACACACGCAGAATGGGAGAAAATACATGATAGTCTCATATTTGTTTTTTTTTTTTTAAAAAGTCTTCTTTTTTTTAATTTTATTTTATTTTTTATTTATTTATGATAGAGAGAGAGAGAGAGAGAGAGAGAGAGGCAGAGACATAGGCAGAGGGAGAAGCTGGCTCCATGCACCGGGAGCCAGACGTGGGATTCGATCCCGGGTCTCCAGGATCGCACCCTGGGCCAAAGGCAGGCGCTAAACCGCTGCGCCACCCAGGGATCCCGAAAGTCTCATATTTGTATCTAAAATACATCAACTCCCACAACTCAACAATAAAAAGACAACCCAATTAAAATATAGGCAAAGAATCTGAAAAAACATTTCTTCAAAGATATACAGTCAATAAGCACATGAAAAGTTGCATAACATCTTCAGCCATCAGGGAAATGCAAATGAAAACCACAACGATATCTTCTTAGACCCACTAGGATGGCTATAAAGAGTATCAATAA